TGTTATAAAACTATATGATTCTGGTTACTCAAAACACTCTACCTACTTGTCTACACAGATGGAGTCTGCAAGAGTGAATTAAAGCAATATGCCAAATAATCTTTGGCGAATATATGTGTACATTCGTAATTCTTACATATTAGTGTTCTAATCTTTCATCCCATAAACTAGTATTATTCTTAAAAAATCTCTGAATTAGATTACTTGGCTCTTACCATATGAAACATTTTTTTAAGGATTTATTTATTTATTTGAGAGAGGAAGCAGCAGGGAGGGGCAGAGGGAGAGGGAGAGACAAACTCCAAGCAGACTCTGTGTGGAGCGTGGAGCCCCACGTGGTGTTCGATCTCAATACTCTGAGATCACAACCTGAGCCAAAACCAAGAGTTGATGGCCCAGTTGACTGTGCCACCCAGGCACCCCCCCCCATATGAAACAATTTGTATAAAAAGTTCTTATTAATAACTGGGACAAATAAATCAAGCGGTTTTTTAACTTTGAGTTTTCAATGAGTACGAAAGGAAAAATAGTCTGGGAAGTGTATAACTTAAGGGAAAGTTAAAAAAAAAAAAAAGGCACAGTCTGATTCTTGAAACAGTAAAATCCTTGCAATAACACATTGTTGTCACCAGGTGTCACAATCAACCTGATGTATAGCTCAGAGCTCCTCAGCCTCCAGGGCCAGTCCTGGGCATCCTCAATGATGTTACAGTGTTTCTCAACAGGAAACTTCTGGTTAGCTCAAGAGATCTTGTGAAATCCTAAAAACATTCTCACAACAAACTTATTTTCATTTGAAAAAAAACCCACCTTCTAAACCTTGTCAGTGCTAACGAGATCTCTTTCATGTCTGTTCCCTCTCTTTCATATTCTATTTGTTCTTGGATCATAAGCTAGTGTAGACTAGCACAGTCACAGACGTAAGCTCTTAAATCCTATATCCTACATCTATTGCCTGTGTGGCCACAGACAAAATTATTTAACCAGCACTAGCTGCATAATTTGCAATGTCCAGTGCAAAATGAAAATGAGGTCCCCTTGTTTAAGTCAGTCAGTTGAGCATCTGCCTTCAGCTCAGGTCATGATCCCAGGGTCCTGGGATCGAGTCCCTCATCGTGCTCCCTGCTCAGCGGGAAGCTTGCTTCTCCCTCTCCAGCTCCCCTTGCTTATGACCTCTCTCTCTGTCATATAAATAAATAAAATCTTTAAAAAAAAAGAATTAAAAGATAGCAACAGCAGATGGTTAAACCAAGGGATGTGCAGTTGCAGAGGTTACACGCTCAAGAACCTGGCTCTTAGCTCTTATGTAATTTCTCCAAGCTTCCACTTCTCCATTTTCCTTGCAGTGAAATGATAATGATAGCACCCGCCTCAGATTCATTGTGAAGATTAAGTAGGAGACGCACATAAAACATTTACTACAGTGCTTGGCACATAGTGAGCTCTCAGTAGATGGGAGCTGCTGTTTTTATGTCCTTCGTCAGACTCATGCCTCCCCTTCTCCTTGGCCAACCCATTTTACAATCCGCTGCCAGGGCCATCTTCTTCAGCACCATTCGAATTATGCCTCTGCCTGTTTTTTACAAAAAACAAATCCTTGCTGCCATCAGATTTTTCTCAGTCTAGCCCTAATCCAGCTTTCCAGCTTCATCACCTCTCTGGCTCCCTGGTCTCTCTCTGACCTCCCTGTGCCTTTGCTTACTGAACTTTAAAGAGCAGCTAACATATCTTTTTTAATTAATTGACTTTGTTTTTTAGAGGAGTTTTAGGTTCACAGCAAAATTGAACAGGAAGTCCAGAGAGTTCCTATATATATGTATATATTCCCTGTCTACACACACATACACACACACACATGCACACCCACACGCACACACACACACCCACACAACCTGTTCCTTATTGATAGATAGCCTGCACTCCAATGATACATTTGTTATAACGGATGAACCTACATTGACACGTCATTCTCACCTAAAGCCCATAGTTCACATTATGGGGTTGTTTATCCTATAGTTTTGGCCAAATTTATAATGACTTATGTCTACCATTACAGTGTCACACAGAGTGGTTTCACTGCCCTAAAAATACTCTGTGCTCCACCTACTCACCCTCCCGCCTCCCAATCCCTGGCAACCACTGATCCTTTTGTCTCCATAATTTTTCCTTTTCCAGAATGTCATATAGTTGAAATCATAAAGCATGTAGCCTTTTCAGATTGACTTCTTTCATTTAATAATATGCAGTTAGGTTTCCTTTGAGTCTTTTCAGGTGCAGTGTTTTTTAAAATAAAATTTTAAATGTAACTCCCATTTAACTACACAGAGCAGAATATTCCGATGATTTCTCCTTTTTACTTTAAAATGTACTTAAAATTAAATACAGATATATCAACAACTATTGTGCTGGGGACCTTTCTGTGGGATCATTAGCCCACATATATTAATTGTGAGAATTGCCATCCCAGAAATGGTATGTTCCTAAAGACTCTCTGAATTTTAGGGACAAGCAGTATGGTTTAAAATACCTAAGGTCTTTTTTTTTTTAATGAAGGTATTCAGGTTTACCTCAAGAAAAAAAGTTTATTGTGGATTAAGTGCTGAATTTTTTTGAGTAGCTCATTTTATAAATCATTACATTTTTTTTTAAAGATCTTTTATTAATTGGGACACCTGGGTGGCTCAGTCAGTTAAACATCTGACTTCGGCTCCAGTCATGATCCCAGGGTCCTGGGATCAAGTCCCACATCAGGCTCCTTGCTCTGCAGCGTGTCTGCTTCTCCCTCTGCCTGCCACCCCCACTGCTTGTGTACTCTCTCTCTCTCTCTGACAAATAAATAAAATCTTAAAAAAAGATTTTTATTAATTTATTTGACAGAGAGAGCAGGAGCAGGGGGAGGTGCAGGCAGAGGCAGAGGGAGAAGCAGGCTTCCTGCTGAGCAGGGAACCCAATGTGGGGCTCGATCCCAGGACCCCGGGAACATGACCCGAGCCGAAGGCAGACGCTTAACCAACTGAGCCACCCAGATGCCCCTTATAATCATTACCTTTTGGCATTCACATCCCAAATCTGATGGCACAGCCAGCCTATACCTTCCTCCTTTATCTTTCTCTGTTACCTTTCTCTGTTGGCCGTATCACTATCACACACAAGCCATCATTTACTTCTCATGTTTTTCTAAATCTACAACAGAAGTATTCTCTATCCATCAGAGTTTCTAAGATCCATCTATTACCTTGGGATTTAAAGACTGGCATGGTTTAAGAGCCTGAAAGAGAAGGGAAAAGCATAGGTATTTCGGGAAAGGAATAAAGAATGATCAAAAGCAGGGACAAACCAATCATGTCATGCTGGGGTGTTGTGAGCCTATTTTATCCTACAAATGTAAGACACTGTATGTCAGGAAGTTAGAAACATCAGCATGTATCCACTATTTGGTTAGTTAGTTGAGACAAATTGAGCTTACTATGAGCTGGGCACAATTCTATAACATTTTTCTAATATTCTAACGAGAGTCTCAAGGCTCATACAATTCGGAGGTCCCCTTTGAAAGCGCACATACTCATAAATAATTTACAAATATAAAATCAGATGACTTCTGAAAGGGCTCATGCAAGTGTAGGGCTTTGAAAGTTTAGCTTCACAGTAAATCATCTCTGTGTGTAAATATTGAGAGATTGCAGTTCAGAAGTAGCCTTCAGAGAACTTGACACTTCCCCTGTCTCAGGTATCCAAGACTGCTTCTGGCTCATGATCTAAACTTCTCCTTAGAAAAACTGTTCATCTCGGTTGGATTGCCACTAGAGCAAAGGGCAAAGTTAAACAGGAATCTTTCATGTTCTGTCTGCCACACATTTCCATGCACCCTTGATACATCCTTAGTCTATTTGCAGCCTTACCTTAGGCAGATCTTCTAACATTCTTTTCATCCACTAACCATAACACGAAATTTCTATATTCCTGAGAGACAGATTCAAATAAAGTATCATTTTCTCCCCTCCACCAACGCTTTCCCAGCAATTTATAGAATGATTAGTGTTCTCACAGAACAATGTGTTCATTCATTTAGTAGACTTTTATGTGCACAGCTGTGCAAGGTACTCAGGATACTAAGATACATCAGAAATAATTTCTTCCCTCAAAGAACTCCCATTCCAGTGTGGCTGAGAACTGAAAGTAAACAAATGGCCACAACAGTCCCTAACAGGCTGTAATAGAACTATTTACAATTGTCCCTGGGACCTAGCTTCAAGAACAAACCAGTAGCAATGTATAAAAGGAATCTTGGAGGATAAATAAGATACAACAGGGAGACAAGGAAGGCAAGGACTTTAAAGCCAGGGTCTCTTCACCAAGAAGTCCATGGTTCAAATTCAGGGGTTTGAAAAATTTGTATGGGAAAATAATTACATCTTAATTTTCACTAACCTCCTCCCTTTGAAATTTAGAATTGCCTTCAATTATAAATACAGGCCACAAACTGGAGTAGTATTAGCAATACTTATAACTTGTCACCGATGGAAACATAGATATAGTCAACTGACATTGCAGTTGACTCATGTTCTTGAAATATTGTTCACATGTATCACTACTTCAAAATTACAGTAGGTATTAGATCCACTGTCAGACTGTATTATTTATTGCATTAATAAAGAAACATACTATAAACAAACTTGTTTTTTGGATATTTGGATAATTTTACATGAATATAATCAGGTCTCTGTAATAATACATGTTTGTTCATTTAAATACATTTTTTCTGAGAAAGATGCCATAGACTTCACCAGACTAAGGGATCTACTACAAAAATAAGAATAACTGCAAAAATAAGAATAAATAAATAAGATTGAGAACCCATGTTCTAAGCAAAGGAAACAGAACACGCAGCAAGTGTAAATGAGGAGGACTTGTTCAAGAATTCTATCACCAGTGCTGTCTTTTCTTCCTCCCGATTCTAAATTCTTTCTACTTCTTTCCTCTTACTCACTTATTGACACTACCCTGGCTTGGGGCCCCCTATCTGGCCCTCCTCCAATCCATTTCCCACACTTCCGCCAGAATGTTCTATATCAAATGCTACAGGGAAGGAAAAATTCTTCCTCTGCCCTTCCAGATCTTCCAGCTGGACTAAAATTTACATGAGGAAAATTAACAGGAGAAAAAAACCCAAAGTCTTATTATGTAGAAACTGAGACTCAATAATGAAATTGAGACCCCAAGAAATGACCAAGCAGGCAGTTTTCACACTTTTTAGACGAAGAGACAACAAACTCATGAGGAACCGACAGGATAAAGAAAACAGGTGTTTGGGAGTTTCAATTAGTAAGAATTCTAACTAGAGTTTGGGCTGAGGTCATAGATTAGCAAAAAAGTAACAAGGTTTGTTTCTGTAGCTTTCTCCACTTTAAAGCTCCTATCTCTGGTGATAAGGGTATCTTTTTACTTCTTAGTACAGAGAGCAAATGCTTTATATGGAAAATTTCCTGCTTTTCGGGGGGAGCAGAGGAGAATCTGAGCGTCCTTGCACTGGTTGCCTCCCAAGTAACTTCAATTCAAAATAATCAGTATGCTCTTGTGGTACATTTTGGGTGGCCTGCCCTTGGCCCCTACCATGTTAATATTGTGCTATTCAGGTTGAAGGGGATAAAGAGAGTCCAACCTGCTTGACCTTTATCTTGTGTCTTTCTACAGTCCCCAAGGCACCGTGGAACCAGTAGGATCCCTGAGACAGATCTGAAAACCCCTGCCCTGAAAGAGTAGTTCAATACCTCTCCATCTTCATCTCCTACTGTTAAGGTCCTGGGCTCTGTCCTGCAGCCTCACTGAAACACTTTTCACTCTTCAAAAACATACTACCCTCTTTTGTCTCTGGGGCTAAGAGCAAGCTATTTCCTCTGCCTGGGACCCTACTCACTGCTCCTTTTTCCTGGTTAATTCTGACTTATTTGTTAGGTGTCTCTTCTTCTGGGAAGTCCTGTCTACTCCCCCAGGAATGGCCGGAGTACACACCCTATGTGCGGCCCCAACATTCTGTATTTACCTTCATTTTATCATTAAATGTTAATAGGCTTTTCACTGGTCTGTGTTTCACAAAATACTTCACTCTCTTCTCTGGTTGGCACTGAGCCTTTATTTGCTGTTCAATTCCCCACACAGTGCCTGACAGGGAGTGGGCCTTCGGAGGCCCACTATTTACTGGTGAGATGGATAAGTGAGTGAAGCCAAAATTGTTGTGGGAGGTTTATCAGGAGAAGCCTTGGAAACCAAGATAAGGAATTTGGATTTTATCCTCTGGACCAGGATTTTTCAAATTGTAAGTTCTGATCTATTAGTAGATTATGAGGTCAATTTAGTGGTCTTCAGTACTTGTTTTGTGTGGAATAGATTTTAGAGAACAGAATACCATAGCATAAAGTAGAAGATATCAGAGTGCATCACAAGTAGCAAGGGTAAATTTTTCTCATGAAACTTCTACTTCAGATATGCGTATTATGCATATACGTGCCTCTCCTATATAAGTATGTGTGCATTCTGCTGTGATGTAGTTTCTTTCTTCCCGTGGGTCACCTCAGGAGGGTTCTCAAGCTGCTGCTGTAACCTCAGGGAAGCCATTGAAGAGTCACAATTAAGGACGTGATATGATCAGAGTTGTGGTTTTGGAAGCTTCCTCAGACCATAACATGAAAGGTATTTTGACAGAGATGACTCTAGAGGTAATGGGATCAAATGAAAAGCTACTACAGTCAACTAAGAAATGATAAAGATAGCAGCAGTGGGATGGGGAGGAGAAATAGTTACTGATTTGATTGAGAGTGTGTGTGGGGGGGGGTTAGTTAATGTTTATGGCAAGATTGCATACAAAACGGAGCTTTCCTGTGAAGAATCCTTGTGGAAATTTCTGGTAACATCTAAAGCAATCTAGAGTTTGAGAGAGAAGTCCAGACTGAAGGCATTTTCTTAGGGAATCATTTATCATTTGTGTTAGTCTGGATCCTCCCAGAAGCAGATACCAATATGGTATTAAACTTACAAAGACATTATTAGGAGAATCCCTGTGATAGAAAATGGGGAGGGGCAATAGGAGGGACTGGGAGAGCCATCAGTCAGCTAGTGCAGCCCAAGGAAGGTGCAGCAAGGAATGTTGAAGAATCCTCAAGCCAGTCATCTATCAGAGAAGCAGGTGTCTCCCAGGATTAGGACTGCCATAGAGCCTGGGCCACGCTCCTTCATTGGCCTTTGCCATGAGCAGCATGTGGGAAACGTGGACTTCAGAGTCCACCCTGGGCCCTTGGTCAACTACTTTCCCTCACACCTAAGGGTTTTGAGGGGTATTCTTCTGGCCACTGCACTTTATTGAACAAATACTGTCATTGAATGCATATACATCAGTATAAATACAAGTACAATTTTGTAAACCACCCTTCTCAATCAAGAAGTTCTAGGGCTGCCTGCGTGGCTCAGTTGGTTAAGCATCCAACTCTTGGTTTTGGCTCAGGTCATGATCTCATGGGTCATGAGATCAAGCCCTGAGTTGGCTCTGCGTTCAGCGGGGAGTCTGCTTGAGAGTCTCTCCCTCTCCCACTGTCCCTCCCCCTACTCGTGGATACTCTCTCTCAAATAAATAAATAAATCTTAAAAAAAAAAAAAAAGAAGAAGAAGTTCTGAAGGGCAGTCAGTAACTTTGCCTCTCCTGGTGACGATTTCAGACCCCTCCTCCTCCCTTTTAGATTTCTCTTTCATTCCTGGCACTCATTTACTGGATATTTAGGAATTAACAGTTAAACCTGTTCATCATGAATTCCTCCTGCCTTGCTTTTCGTTGACATTGTTTTGTGAGCTAATACTTTCTCCTCTACTTATCTTTGGGCAACTCTCTTCTGCTACTACTCCTTGCCCACATATTCCTAGACTAGGTCAAATTTCTATTCTGTCCTGCATTTAGGCATAATCTTCTCTGGGTATGGAGTCGTCGAGGGAAGAAGGGAAGATTAAGGAGAGGCACAGCATGATGTTAAGAATCCCAGGTCCGTTGAAACCCTAACCCCCAGCTCCCGAGAATGTAACATTATTTGGAGATAAGGTCTTTAGAGGAATGATTAAGTTAAAATGAGTTCTTGAGGGTGAGCCTTAAACCACTATGACTGATATCCTTATGAGTAGAGAAGATGAGGACATAGACACACAGATGACATATGAGGACACAGTAAGAAGGCAGCTAGGAGAGGCCTCAGATGGAACTGACCTGCTGACACCTTGATCTTGGAAAAAAACCAACAAACGAAAAAACAAAAACTGGAAATCCCAGCCCTACCACCAATTAGCGGTGTAACCAAAGGCAAATTATTTAACTTTCCCAAGCTTCATTCCTCTTACCTGTAAAACAGGGATAACAATAAGGATAGCAAATAATCCTACCCTATAGGATTGCTGTAAGTAGTAAGTGGGGTATAGATACCGTACATATAACACATAGCACAGTGCCTGGCATATGGTAAGCACTCAATAAAGATTAACTATAATGATTATTATTAATAATATCATTGCTTTTACCTTCCTGCTATTAGATTCTCTCACCTGCTTTTTTAAAAATGTTTTCTATTTTTTAAGTAATCTCTGCACCCAATGTGGGCTCGAACTCATAACTCTGAGATCAAGAGTTGTACGCTCCACCCACTGAGCCAGGCGGGTGCCCTTCTCTCACCTGTTTTCATGTCAATTAATTAATAATTAAAGCTTTCCTAAAATAGTTCTTATTCACCAAATCTCACGTAGAATAGCTACCATTTTGGGGGCAACCATTTAGGGTGTTTTATTGTGTGTGTAACTTGCAGATGGCAGAAAACTCAACCAAGACAGAGATGTATTGTTTTTCACATTAGAAACCTAGAGGTAAGTAGCTAGGCCTGGAGTAGTGGTCCATAATGGCATCATTGTCCCAGGATGCTCCTTTCTTCCTGTCCTACCATCCTTTGGGCCATAAGGTGGATTTGGCTTCTTTGGCACAACATCCATGTCCAAGGAGATGAACAGGATGGAATCCTGAGGCTTTTTCCTCTTAAAGATTTATTATTTTATTTAAGAAGGCAAACCCACCCCAGGGGCATCCACCTATATCCCACTGGCCAAATGGTGTCAAATGGATACTCCCAGCTGGAAGAGAGACTGGAATATCAAGTATTTTTAGTTGGGTACATTTCTCACCTCAGATATAATCAGGTTAATGTTTTAAAGAAGGGTAAATTGATATTGGGGTGGACAACTAGCCATGTCTGCTACATGACCTCACTTATTTTTACTTTTTCTAAAAAAGATTTATTTATTTATTTATTTAGTGCAACGGGGAGGGGCAAAGGGACAGGGAGAGAGAGAATCTCAAGTGGACTCCACACTGAGTGCAGAGCCCAGCACAGGGCTTGATCTCATGAGCCTGAGATCATGACCTGAGTTGAAATCAAGTCAGATGCTTAACTAACTGAGCCACCCAGGTGCCCCATCACTTAATTCTACTTTTTAAAATGACAATCTGGGGTGCCTGGCTGGCTCAGTTAGAGGAACATGTGACTCTTGATCTTGGGGTCATGAGTTCAAGCCCCATGTTGGGGGCAGAGATTACTTAAAAATAAGATCTTAAAAAATGACCATCTGTTTCAGATCTGATACTATGGACTTGAATCTAGAATTCAATAATTTAGGGAATGGGTACATTATAGCCAACGTTAATTCAGTAGGAGGAAAATCAATGACACTGAACTTTGCATTGAATTGACTGATCCATTTAGTCAGAACAATTACCTCACATTGATATGGATTGCTCTAGATACTAAATATAAAAACTCATGGGCTAGCTAGTCTCATGTATAAATTACCCACAACTATCAAGTTAAGCAGTGTTAAATCTGGTTCCTTAAACATTTAAACTACTTTTATTATGCTATTACTACAGTGTATAAAATTATAATCCACGTTCTGAGTAGGGAAACAAACATACACAGCCCATTGCTTATGTATTATCTACACTTCACTCACCTGCTTCAAATCCTTTTTCAGAACATGGCAAATATGAATTAAAAATCCAGAAATATATAGTTCATACAAGTTAGTAAGCATTACAAATGGGAAGAATTATTATTTTCATTTCTTCATATAATAATTAAGTCCTCTCTTGCAACGTCCTTACTCATCTGAAAGAATTATGTAATGATCTCAATTTACTGTGGAAGGGCAGTGCTTAACCTTTGTGGTATGTAGATCTATCATGTCTTAGTTGCAGGATGGCACCTCATCCAAGCAATTTGAATGTTTCAATAAATAAAGTATTTAGGTTATTTAGGCCATGCTAGAAAGAAAGGAGGAGTAATAGTGAACTGAGATGCAGCCAAGGAATAGGACAAAATAAAATGTATTCACTAGATTAGTAAGCTAATGATAAAATGATAATTAAAAACTTATATCAAAGCAGCAACTTCTTTATATTGTCCTCAAATCATTTAATATTTATTAGTCTTCTGTGTTAAACTATGTGTTAAACTCCTAAAGGATATTTGGGTTCCCACATAGCACTTAACAGTGCCCTAGCCATGCTTATGGATTGACTGAGCATGCATATATTAAAAAGCCCAGTGTTAACTCCCAGTTTCCAGTAAATTCTCTTTATAGTCAAAATGAATAATCTGAATTAAGGCCACTAGCTTAAAGGTATAACTAAAAAGTTGGGTGACCTTTTCAAGCAAACATAATGGAATATAAAATATGTTGTCCTTCCTCAAAGTTGAATCTCCGGAAGGCAACATATCTGTTGAACAATAATGAAATTACTCAGAACATCAACAAGACTCTTTTGCAATTACCTTTAAACCCAGTTAAAGAAATACACAAGGAAAACACTTCACATTACTTTATAAATACAGCTAATTTTTACACACACCCCCCCCCAAAAAATCCCAAACTATTTGGATCATCTACTTTATTCACCATTTTTTGGCTTTAGATAACTCTTGTCTGTGTTTAAAAAAAAAAAGAACTGTCCTTTAAGAATAAATTTGCTGTCATCAGATGTACTGAAATAAACATGACATGATCATTCTAATACATTAAAACTCCATATTGAGAAATTCTAAACTATGTACTCAAGCTTTATTTATGTAGTGAGAACCGTCTATAATTAACTAACAAACTACACTCTAGGCATTCTTAAGTTTGTTCAAGCATTAATATTAATAATATACTAATGAAGGGGAGAATTTTCAGCATGTGTCTCCTAGGACTCAAAGTTGGCTAATGGCAGTGATGTTTGTAATAATAGTATTACCAGACTCCATAGAGGTTTGGTTGAATGTAGACTGCAGAATAACTAAATTTTGTGACTACAAGCAAACATCTAAGTACAAAGACACGTGTTGAATACAGATATATAATTAGCTCAAAGCAACATATTTGGCTTTAGATTGTGCAGTGGAAATATTGGTCCACTCCTAGTGTTAAAAGCTTCCTTGATAAAATATAAAAGGTTTAAAGGCAATTGCAAAAGAGTTTTGTTGATGCTCTGAGTAATTACACTATTGTTCAACAAGTGAGCAGCCTTCTGGAGTTTCAACTTTGAGGAAGGACAATGTATCTTATATTCCATGTTTTAAGGATTGTTAGCTTATATATTTCTAAAGCAGACTAGGTTTTAGTGGTTAACTAATTAATTCGTTGTTTCCCACAGCTTGAGGCTGACTTCATGGAAGAGTGATAAAGTGGATCTGACCCTCTGGCTGGCCTCTGGCTTCCGCTGCTTTTTCAGTTCTGCAACTTTTGGTAGCAAGGGTTTTGGAAATCGGGAAGACCAGAGCAGAACCAGGGTCTAGCTATAGCTACCATCGTGTCAGAACTCTAAATAAAACCATGATGCTGATAATCATTTTATCTGTGAAACTTGATGGTAAGCTACATGAGGACAAGAACGATCTGGGTCTGATATGTCAGGCAGGCACCAACTCCCAAATTTTATCCTAGGATATTTCTAGATACAAGTGACTAATGGGAGTCCTCAATTGTGAAGTAAAGTTAAAACTCAGACTAGACAAGTATTTATGACCATATTAATGAACTAAAAACGTACTTGCTTTAATCTTGTGTAAAAAGAAAGCGTAATTTGACATAAAATTTATCTTGCAATTCATTTACCATATTCTTAGTATTTTTTAAAGGTTCACGTTAATTACCTCTTCTTGTCACAGCTCTATGGTCATTTCATTGTGTAACAAAATGGGAAATACAATGCTGAACAAATGGAGTACCACAAACTTATAATGGCATGCTGAGTACTTGAATCATGAGATTTAGAGTCAGACAGACCTTGGGTGGTATCCGAGCTTTGCCACCTACTATGTAACCCTGCCTAAATTACTCAATTGCACTTAGCTTCAGTTTTTCATCCCCCGAAAAATAAGAATGGTAAATATGAATACCTAAAAAAGTAGTTAGGAGGATTAAATAATATGTGTAAAAGGGACATAAGAGGATTTTTAGGGCAAGGGAAATATTCTACATCATGATCGTGATAGTAGTTACACAACTATGTGCAGTTGTTAAAATTCATACAGCTATACACAAAAAGGTATGACTTCTAGTGAACATCAAGTATGCTTCAATAAATCTGACTTTAAAAATAAAATAATAGAATTTTAAAATGCATGTATTCAGTACAGTGTTTGACAATTAGGAAGTGCATTTCAAAATTATGAAAAATTAATTCTTCCATTGCCACAAAAATAAGTTCTCTCCATAGTTACTAGGTTTTTACATCTTGGTGTACTGAACTGGAGATCAAATCCAATATTCCCTGTATTCCTCTTCTACTCTTTAAATGTCAAAGGAAATTACAGAAGGAACGGTGAAATTGAACAATTGAATATTTTCAGTTAACAAAGATCTTGTACACTCCCACTAAGAGCCTTCGATGGCATACAGAGAAACATAAAAGAGATACAGGTGTTTCCCCAACTTAAACACTTGATATATTCTCCAAATATTTGGGGGGAAATATGTATGTGGCAAGGACTTGCTAGATTCTGGGAATACATTTGGCGTTAGAAGGAAACTCTACCCCTGTGAAACAGTCTCATGGGAGAAATGGACTTTAACCCAAGAATTACCCAAATAAATATCAAGTCACAGAAATAAATGTAAAAGGACACCTGACTTGGAAACATTCATTCACACAAAAGAATAGTTGACTGAAATTCAGCAGAGATGAAGAGTAAACCAAGAGTTTTCTTTCTGTGGTTTAAGGAATGTGACAGGAACGTGAAAGGTATAATGCAAGGGCTAGGGAACTTCCTTCTGAGAGAGATTCCCAATTTGTGGTTCAAAACATGTGTTCTATGGACAAATGGAGATATTTATTAGATGATAATATTATATCAATGAAATTTTCTAAGTGTGGTAATTATATCGCGGCTATGTAGAAGATTCTCTCTGTACCTGGGAGACACATGTTGAAGTATTTATGGGTGAGGTACCTTGATGTTGGCATACTATTTTCAAATAATTCAACAAAACTAATGTTGAATTACACATAAGAGAAAGAAAGAGAAAATAAAAGTGGTAAATTTTTAATAATTGGTGAGCCAGAATGAAAGGTATATGGGTGTCCATCGTATTTTTCTCTCTCCCTCCCTCCTCCACCTTCTGTATGCTTCCATTTCCCATCTCTGTTCCTTTGTACTATTTTTGTCATATCTTTTACTTTTAAATATGTCATAAACTTCTTAGCACATCATTATGATTTTTACTCTAAACAGTCAACTTTCTTTTAAAATTTTTTTAAGTGAGGAAAAACAGTCTTCTGTAAGGTACCTATACGTTTACCATTCCTAGTATTTTTTCATTCTTTCACATAGATCCAAGTTCTGTCTGGTATCATTTTCCTTCAGCTGAAGAACTTCTTTTAATATTTTTCTTTTTCATAGTGCAGGTCTTTGGGAGATGCATTCTCTCAGGGTTTGTTTCTCTAAATGTATCTTCAC